TGCTTAATGTCACTGTTCGTTGTGCCTGGAGCGTGCCCAGAGTATCTTCCCACCTGTGAATTGGGGCTCTGAAATGCTGTCCAGTTTCTTCTTATTACCTGAAGTAGAAACTGTGCACTGCACTTTGAAAAATCTCTTCTGTGAGAAAATATACTGTTGGGTGAGTCACCTTCCCTGGAGGTTTTTAAAAGACACCTGTCATCTTTAAAGAGGTGGCACTTGGGGACATGGTTTAGTGCTGGGCTTGGCAGTGCTGGGTTAGTGGTTGGACTCGATATCTTAGAGGTCTTTTCCAACTTAAATGATTCAGTGATTCTATCAGTATAATAGGCTGTTAAAAACAATTGAAATAGTGTACATATTCCAATTAGGCTTCTCCTTGTTATAATTTCTATGCATGATTTTCAGATAGTCTTCAGAAACTGCATTTGGCATCTTCCTTATTCTGGATTCTCCTATTTTGTGCTATGTCTGTAGTCTCAAATATGATCTTACAAGGAAACAGTTACTGCAAGTGACAAGCCCATGAGTTCTGGGTGAATCTAGTACCCTAGCAAATGTACAGTTTACAAATCCTTCTCCATGCATCTCAGAAATCTAAAGAAGCCAGAATTTGAAATGTTCTTTTTTGACTGATTAGTGAAAGTGTAAATTCTGAGTGATGCAAACACTTGAAACACACTCCAGCTGTGTCCAGTAGTACCAGGTTCCAGCTACCCAAGTCCCAGCTCTCTTTAGCCCTTGCTCTCTGTGCTGGAGAACAGATTTTGCTAAAATGGGGCAATTGAACTGAATTCTTTTGGGATAAAATTGTAATTCCCAGGAGAGGGAGTTCCTACAGTTAAAGCAGCAGCAAGAAAGATATCCAGATCATATTCAATCCTTTTGGAAGATATAGCCTTATTTTATTATTGTATTAAAACCAGTAATGGCTTCAGTGCTGAAAGCCATACTTACTTCGATACAGATGCTGTTACAGTATTGCTTGTTTCCCTTCTCTTTTCTCTGAAAGTGCAACAAGATTTGTTTTACCTTTTTTCCCTCTAGCTTTTGCATTTGAAGTTCAGGAAGCTTTTCACGAGTTGTGTGGCAGGGTTGGTAGAGCATCCTTTGTTCCTTTGGCAGAGCCCTTGTTCCCATAATTGAGTTTCAGAAAGAAACTAAAGATTAGGATAATACTGAATCAATTGGGATTTTTAAAGGAGACTGCAAATTCTCTTACTGGCATCATGAATCTTGTATTCATATCTGTTCGTTATACATCCCAATTTTACTAGAAAGTTGGGTCATTATCAGTGAAGAAGATAAAGTTCTTCAATATCTGTTAATAAATATCTGTTCTACTGAGAGTTCACCATACCTTTCAGGAGAAGTAACTGCAAGTTTCCTGAGTAGAAGTGATCCAGGGCATGGATTCACACAGCTTAATGTCATTAGTTGGTGAAGCAGCTGTCCCATTTGTTCTCAAGTATCACTGACCATGGAAACTTAATAGGATTTTCTAGAAAGCCTTTTGGATAAAATTTGGGGAGTCTTAAGTCAGTGAATACTCTGCGCTTTGCTTTATGATTTTTATCACTTTCAGTGAAAGGCATCTTAAGATGTCATAACACACATGCCTATCTTAAAGGGGATGGAGCAAGAGAACAGTCACAGAAGTGCCACTCCACTAAGTCCTGGGTTTGAGAGCTGGATACACCTAGTCTTATCCAATTTTGGTAGCTGCTGCTAATGATATGATGCAGCAGCAAAAGCATCTCTCAAAAAAAAATCCCAAACAATACCTTGTATGATTATGAGATTTATTAACAGTGGGTATACAATTAGGAATGCTAAAGTATTTTGGCAATCATTTAAATACAGGAAATTATTGTCTTCTGAGAGAATGCTTCAGAAGAAAGCAAGCTACGCTTAGAGTAGTTTGTGAAGCACAGCTCAGTGGTTGTAGCATACCCAGGATCCCACCAAATGTTTATTATGGGGTCCTGGTGAAAGAACAACTTTTATCCTAGTTTTTTTGGGGTTTTTTGCAAAGTCCTGTTGACTCTTCAAGCAGGACAAATTGTTTTGTTGAAACATGATAAAGGCCTTGCATTTTTTGAGATATTCTTTAACTTCATTCTTTGAAAAGGAGGAAGATTGTGTTGCTATTCTTGAAAAGAGTCCCAGAAGTTGTTTTTCAAGCATATGAACTTAGCATTGTGAATGAGCTTTCTTTTTCAGTCTGACTAGTGTGATAGGTGAATGCTTAGGAGTTGTCTAAGTATAAATAAAGTGCAGTAGTGCATTCAAGACCCATTTTGATGTGCTGTTTCCCTGTAACTGTTGCCCAGTTTCACTACACCTAGCCATATGGCTTTTAAAGACTGAACACAGTTCAAGTCATTTCTCTGAATGCTCAGGATCAGATGTGGAGATGAGTTCTATATGAAAAAGCATATTACTGAAAATTGTCCCAATATGGGAGACTATTTTCCAAGATATGGGAAAAAAATGAACAGATGGTTATTAGTAACAGGAGGGTCAGCTCCTGGATGAAATATCTGGTGTTGTTAATTTAGTTAAATTTAGTAAACAAAAAGCAGATTGATTAAGTAGGATTTCCATTTTCAAAATAAATCGAGAGAGCTAATCAGTGAAATCAACTGGACTGAGTGATTATAGACTAAAATGTAGTAGAGGTTTGGGATTTATTTTAGACAAAGGTACAAAAGTTAATAAAAAGTGCATTCCAATTTAGGTGAGGAAAAAACCCCCACTTGGAAGTTCTATGCCAAAGTGAATGATTAAGTACTTTTTAAGGAATGTCTGGAGTAAGCAAAGATCCTGAAAGAAACAGAAAAACAGCTTGATCTGCAAAGAATGTCACATCCTGGACATCAGAAAGTGTGGGGTTACAGTGGCAGTCAGCAAAAGTTAATTTGAATTAGATCATAAGAAGGGAATTTAAATTAACAAGAAAATTTAAATGTAAAGAAGCTTTCCAGGGAAGACAACTAGAAGTGTGCAGTGCGAATGGACAAATGAACGAGGTATGTTCTAAACAGGAAAATATTTAGTTTTCATTAAAACCCGAAATTTCAGTGAAAGGTCTGAAAATAAACCAAAAAAATAGACAGGAGTTTTGGGTAGGTATTACAAATTAGCACACCTAATAAATATCAAAGCGTCTGACTTGAAGAATAAATGTCTTTCAAGAATAATAGACAGGAGTTTTGGGTAGGTATTACAAATTAGCACACCTAATAAATGTCAAAGCACCTGACTTGAAGAATAAATGTCTTTCAAGAATACTGACAAATACTGCTGCATGGAACAATTTTTTAGTATTGTAGTTCATGGCATATATTTGAAAGAGTGGAAAGGTAGCACCTGTACTTAGACTAAGAGGGGAAAAAAAAAGTGATAGCAAAGCACCTGCATGGGCTGACTATTATCTGTGCATGGCTTTAGAAAAGCTTTTAAGAAAGAAGTAAGAGAGGAAAAGTAAAGCAAATGACGTAACTTACAGTGTGGGGTATTTTGTTAAACAGCAGATTGTGGCCAGCTAACCTGCTCATCTTTCAAAATACTAGGAAAATACATTAAGTCTATCTGTACCTCAGTAAACCATCTGATGTAGTGAAACATAAAGGATTAGAATTAATGAGGTCTAGGAATTTTAAGATTAATAGAGAAATGCAGATTTTAATGCAAGAATTATTTTTATTGAGGGTTGTGGTTGAACCCATCTTATCCAATATTTTCATTTATTGTCTTTCCACAAAATGAAAGCTGATGGACTTTTATTAAGAAAATTTATTAGAAGGTAGTGTCTAGTGCAAGTGCAAATAGAGTATTCAGGTAGGACTGGTCTGTTCTGAGGAAGAGAGGACTACAAACAGCATG